ACCCTGACTTCTGTATTATAGATGTATATTTAACAAAAGTTGAGTTTTTATATTTGTTTTGGCTCTTGAATTATCTCGAAACCCTCATGGCTTCAGTAACTATTCCTCCACGTCAGTTGCTTCGCACTATGGGGTGAGATTAATAGTTACTACCACCTCATCCTATATTTAGCTGGGCTCTTTTTTTTTTTTTTTTCCTAATTGGGATCAGTTTTTGTGTCTGACTCTTTGTCAGCTAGAATGGGGGCTGGGAGTGGAGGATTATGGGTCAAAGAAGCAGGATATACCTTTTAAACGAATTCTAGTTATACTTGCTACCTAGTAAGTAGTAATTTATAGATATGGCTGATGGAGCCGGCAGGGCTGGTGGTATTGGCTAGTAACAAGTGGGCTGTTGTTCTAAAAATAAAAGCTGAGATAGAATTACAGTAACAATAATTTTGGCATGTCTTGTATCATATTTTATCTCAAGGTAAGAATTCCTATACTATTAATCGTTGATACTTATATCATGTCTCATCCAAAACATATCTATGTTGTGCTATTAATCTATCAGCACCTTTATTCTTGAAAAACTCCAGAGTATATTAAGTTGATACTTTCAACAACTTTTAGCTATCATAACAATCCCTTTGATAAGCTCTTCGATCTTCTTATCATGATTCCTTGAACCTTTAATTAGTCTTCTGACTCCAATCAAGTACTAACCCTCTATGTTGTGTCCTATGTAGGCAATATATGCTATCAAAGTCGATTGCCTGGAAAAGATTTCTGATCATGATCCCTACAGAGACGAGGAAATAGATAATTTAACAGATTTCATTGATAATGTTATTAATCACTATCTGTGCTTTGGTGACCCGAAATCATGTTGTGAGAAGCTTGAAAACTTGCTCAGTCATGGGTACGTTGTTGAGCCAAAGGGAGCAGAATCACATCAAATACTGAAGTTGCACCCTTTTCATCATCTTTCTTTGAATGCCTATGCCACATTGGCTTCAATGTATAAAGTCTGCACTAGTGATTTGTTAGCTCTTGATTCTGGAATCGAAGGACATAATTTTGAAGCCTTCAATATGCACAGAACAAGTGTTGCATATTCTTTATTGCTTGCTGGAGTGGCAGACCATCTTTTTACATTTGAATCTTCTTTCATAGTTTCTGTTGCAAATTCCTGGAAGAATGCAGGGGAATCATTGCTAAGTTTTGCTAAATGCTCGTCTTGGAACTTGTACCTGAAATCAAGACCAGTTAATTCAGAATTATCATCCATTTTAACTCCCAAATGCCCCCACTGTTCTCTCGTAGATAGTTTTGAAGCAAGTTTTAACGGTCAAGATCAAAATGTGCAGTTCGAGAAAATAACCAGGCAGTTTTGCAGTTGTATTGCCACTATAACATCAAAAGTCTGGAGATCACTTATTTCTGAAGGCAGTTACTTGAAAGCAATCGAAAATCCAATTGAGTTTAGCTGGCTTGCACCGCCTGACTCTTTGAAGATTGCTGATTTTGGAGCTCACTTTGCCAAGATTGATATGGGCAAAGGT